CCTTCCCACAATCACTTCTATCACATAGCAAATGAAAGAATGTCAGTGCTGTTGCTATAAACCCAGTTTCTTCTTCCGTGACTTTGGTGCCATTATTCCAATCACTTCCTGTGTGGAGCATCTCAGCCTCCTGTGTCTGGGGGTACAGGCCAATCTGTGTTTGATCAGGAGACAAGTAAAAAGGCCCCTCACTCTGCCACAAGCGTGAACAAATGAAGAGATAACTTCGTAGGCTGTGTTGATTTTGATAACCTCAAACAGTTCCTCGGTGAGTTTGAAATGCTCCTTGAGAGATTTGTCCCGCTCGGGCACTGTGACAGGTTTGGCTCTGGATACACTTTCATGTTTCTTCGACAGTGATTAAGAGAAGGCTTTCATGCCTGACCAAACACTCTGGAACTAGAACTGAGTGTAAGTATCATTAAACATGTATATGGATATGAAACCATAATTTTGGTGTACATTTTAATCTGAGGAATACTTGATTTTCTCATTCCATCTGCAGAAAAAGGGTTCATCGACTGCAGCTGCCATTGAAATAAAGTAGAATCTTTCTTCTCTCTTTCTCTTTTCTCTGCAACCATATTAAATGACTTAGACAGTAATTTGACATCTTGCTTCCAAAGAGAATAACTAGTATGTAGATTGAGATGGTTACAATATATAGCTTTTTGTTATCAATTCATTTATATTTGTAGCTACTTCCCTAATACATTGCTGCAATTATGTTCCTGTTTTGACAACAGGAAATGTATCATTTTGTTAGCTTTTTTAGCAGTCAAATGGATCATTTTTTAATGTCAGGATTTAACTTTTATAAATGTATGAATATATTAGTTTTTACTCTTCGTCCCAAATGAATAAAGGTGTTTTGAGGTTTCGGGGACAACTCTCTAGAGAATCTGTCAGTTACAAACAGAATTTGGGCCTAATTCATTAAATAAACCCCCCTCAAGCAATCTTCAGAGTTTGTTTCAATGGATGTAAGACAGAGTCAATGAACAAAAGGGCAGACACAGGAATATGTATTATTCTATCTTGAAATTGAGCTTGTCTGTGCAATTCTACAACTCTGAATATAACAAAAGTGAGAAACAATGAAAGGAAAGCCAGAGCAGTATTGAACTGAGACGATAAATAAAATGCACTGATTACAACCTTGTCGGAAAGACGCAAACATTTTGTTCCTGTCTAGAGTAAGCTGCTGGCGTCTGCTTACACAGCCACACTCTGGGACCTGTTACAAATGCTTTAAGCTCAGCCCTGGGACTATTTTGAAACTGCTTCCAATAGGGTTGTTGCTTGGCTGTGTGGAAATGTAAAACCCACTTAATTCTACCTGCAGTGATATTGACACTGAGCTTTGTGTGTGTGTGTGTGTGTGTGTGTGTGTGTGTGTGTGTGCGTGTGTGTGTGGTGGAGGAGGTCTAAACTATATCAAGCTCCTGTAATATGACCAACTGTTTTTTTTCATTACTCTCGTGTAGGAGGGGAAATGGAGAATATGGAGCTCAATTTATGCTCACATCATTGTACATTTAGTTACTTGCTACCACCCCACACCTTCTACCACACACACACACACACACACACACACACACACACACACAAAGGCTTATCGAGCATCAGAAAAATTGCTTTTTGTTCCAATTATAGCTTTGACAGCCTTCTCGGCTACCAAAGTATGGTGCCAATGGTGCAATCCCTGGGGTGTCCAAGCCAGTAATTGAAAATCAAGTCCTTGGCTATGCGTGCCAATAGGGCTTGAGGCTCCTGTCCCTATACATGCGCTCGCACACACATATTCACTAATGTGCAATTTCATTACGTGACAAAGTCCCGTCTCTCTGACGGCCGAGCTGATGTATGTGACACCTCAGACTTCCAACCAATTCTCATCTATCTCTCAAGAGATGAGAGCGGTGACGAGACACGGAGATTGATGCTCACGCAACGCGTTTCTCATCTGATCAACGAATACTCGAGATTGTTCAATGCACACTATATTTTGGAACTTAACGACCTTTGATGTAGGTAAGATCAGCCTTTAGGTTTAGTTGAAGTTAGGGTGCTGCAAACCAACCAAATTTTCTCCTTTATATATTGTCTTCTAACCTTTTTATAAAACCCAATAAGATTCTAGGTCTGACTCTCTTTTAGACATCTCTGTTATAAATCTCCATTACAGAAATAATAATAGATTTATTTGGAATGTCAGAGTATAGCGCTGCATAAAAAGTACCGTCAACACCACTCACAGATGTAGAGCATACACAAATGCATTGTATTTAACCATGTTTTACAGTGAGGTCTCTAAGAGCATATTGGAATAGCAGACTTTTGAAACATCCTCAGTTCAAAATCACGTTTAAAACAAGTTTTAAGAAAATTAATGATTAAATCGTGAAGTATCAAGCAAATAAAACAATGTTAAACATGTTTTCAGTTTAGTTTAGTTTTCAGGGCCTGGACCCAAAGAATGTTCTGATTTAGGAAGATACTAAATCAGAGCAGAAATAGATTGTTTCCAAAGGCTATACATTTTGTTTTTAAAGCACAAATCTTAGCACACTCTATGATAAAATATGTATGTAGTCACCTTTTGAACTATTCAACAATCAACAAACCAATCAGCCCTGTCACATTTATATTATTCCCATGTTGCGATATCTGGAAAGAAAAAGCTATGAATCTCAATTACATTCTTGACAACAGCACCATTGAGTCTCCCAGTGACACTGCCTTTAAAGTCTGCCTCTTTCACAACCTGTAAGACATCCCTCACATGGGATCACTAATTCTCTACAACAGCTGAAAAAGGCTTTGTCACCGCTGTTAACTGTGCATTACCTCAGGCTCTCCTATTCTCTCCACACTCGCCACTATAAGTTGAGCTGTAAAGCCGGAACAGCTCACTTTGTCCTGCGACAGTTACTGCGGCAGGAAAGTGCAAGTGGATTTGACTAATTAAAGTTAAAATGAAATGGTGTCTGTTTATCGCACCCAAAGCTGAGCATAAATTAAAGTGGGAGGGCGAAAAATAAATTGAGATTCCTCAATTTCAGCAACCAAAAGCTTCTTCTGGAGTTGATAAAAAAATACTGAAATATGGCACAAATCTTTTTCTTTTTTTTCTTTGCTGCTGCTGTGCACAAAATATATTTCTGTCGCGCAAAGGCTCTGTAGACTGGAAATTATGTTTGACAATAAAGCGCAATAAAGAGTGATGCAATGCTATAATCACGGGCGTGACATCATGCAAAGATCACTTTTGGCACTAACATGTTGACAATTCTTCTATCACAGGATCAGTTTGTTGCGTGTCAAAGCAAAAGAGAAAGGCAATAGGGTATAAAACACAGAAGGAACACAGCGTGATCTATCTTGCACACATTCGTGTTTTATCTAGATGTTTCTGCTGTTTCTGTTTTTGCATTCTTAAACAGGTGTTGTGTAAAAGGTACTGAGGCCATTCATTGAACACCTTTGGGGAGTCAAACCAAATTCATATTTGGCTTCTTCTACTCAGCTTTTCTAATTAATATCAACCTCAGTACTGAGTAACATTTCCCTGCCAACCTTATTATGTGTCTACCAGCGTGCGTATTGCAGATGCAAACCTCAGTGTGTGTGTGTGTGTGTGTGTGTGTGTGTGTGTGTGTGTGTGTGTGTGTGTGGGAGAGAGAAGAGAGAGAGAGAGAGAGAAAGAGAAGGACTGTGTGGCTGTGTAATTTCAAATGTGGCCAGCTCTAGGTTCAATTAACGGTTCGGATTTCTCCCTGTGAAATTCTGTGTCAGCACCCACTGACAAGATTGCTCACAAGACCTAGCTTGTCTGTAATTCACACTTCTGCATTTCAGTCATAGCCTAATCAGAAATGTATCTTTTATAGATAGTGTGCACATCATCTTTCTGAATCTGTCAAAAAAAAAAAAAGGAGGAGAGGTGCAGTGAACAAATCATTCAGCAGGGATAACGTCAGCTACCTTACAGTGTCACTGCACTGAAAACATGGCATCAACGCAAGAACTTACTTACATCACACACGCATTGGGACTTGAACAATGTCCAGGGGCTGCTGCATGATAATGTCCAGATGTCACAGGTTCATATCGCAAGTGCTCCAGGCATGAATATCCTCAGAATAATTTGCTCTGAATAGTTGTCATAGTTGTTGGGGGATGTCACTTCTTTTGCTGCTGGGTGCCTCTGCAGTGCCGTAGAAGCTGAATGTGTATATTGATGTAGAAGGATGGTTTTCAAATAACTTTTTTTTAAATCAAGAGAGGATTTACCCTGGATGTTGGTTAAATAATTTAGTAGCTGTGGTACAAATATTTCACCCCCAGAAAAGATGGAAAAAGGATTGATTATCAAACACTTCTGGATTATCTGACCATCGGAAAGTCTGTGTGGCCAGACTTAATGGGCTGATGAAATCTGCTTCTGGTTAAAGACAATGCATCATTGCTGTCATCAAGAAGCAACACTTCATGGCAGAAAGGGTGCGGGGATGCCTTTTTTATTCAACCAAATCAGCTACACACTGGGGGCATATTCAACCAAAACTCTGAATGAGATGCAAATCTATATTTTTAATCAGTGAAAGAGAATTGTAACAAGACAGCTGACCTTTGAGTAACACTGATAATAACAAAGTGAGTAATTATTTTTGCACATTCTGTTACATATCTCAAGATCAGACAAGATCAGAAAAGGGGATGGGGGTGGGGTGGGTTTTAAAATGTATCCAAAACCCTAAAACAGTCCTCTGTCAAGCTGAAAATCAATCATTTCAAATCTTTATCCACGTGTTAAATCTGCATCTGGATCTCTGGAGCGCTGTCCAAGGTGCTGATCTGTTTGAACGAGCTCCACCAGGAGCTGACCACAGACACACACACACCGCCACTACATGAGCTTGTTATGAATTAACAGCTCCTGTGTTGCTCACTAGCCTTGACCACCCTCAGGTATACACGTACAGGTAACATCTCACCTTCAACTTCGTCTTCGGGCAGGTTCACCGGGGTCCTGTAGGAGAGGATGTCAGGGATGGTGCAGACCCCCCGGTACATCAACGTGGAGGTGACTGGATGCATCGGCATGACTGCGACCTTTGGCTGCCACCTGCGCCCTCGTCATACAGAAATGTCTACAGAGAGGGTCCCAACTTCCTCCCGCGGTCACCGAGGGAACAGAGAAGCGAGTCCATGGATATGGGGAAGAGGGGCGAGGTGAGAGACGGTGGATTCCGCAGCGTGTCTGCCGAAATCTTGCTTTTGGTCAATGACGGAAGAGCAGGGAAAATGTAGGGGGTGTCTTACATTGCATTTTGTTTGAAAAACAATTTCCTTGATAATACACAAAGTCAATGGATAAAAAAACTACCTCAGACTGAGACAATGCGCACACATATACATCACCTTCAATCAAGACCAGCTCCACATCTGAGCTAATTAGTGCGGGTTATTAGTCTGTTGTAAACCGACCAGTCGATACACAGATTTGTAGGTTATCAATCCAATGATTGATTGTGGTTTTAGTCCCAGCGTTTCTCCGCAGAGAGTAAATTCATGCATCCACTTGTTGGATACGTGCGCTCACTTGACGCACTCCGTCCTCAAGATCCAGCCACCTTAATATAATCCACAGAAACGACGTGTTACACTTAAAATATTGATACAACCAAGCAAACCTAAATGTGTCTCTTGAAAGCGTGAGAAAAATGACTGGCAAGCGCGTGTCGGGATCCTCAAAGACAAGAATTGGTCGCTCCTAATTGGTCATGGGCACGGGGGCGCAGTGCGATCCAGTTGTTCCATCTTCAGTTGGAGGAGTGTTTGTTTTTTGTGAAAGGAAGCTCTCTGTGTATATCTGATATGTAGTCTCTCTCTCTCTCTCTCTCTCTCTCTCTCTCTCTCTCTCTCTCTCTCTCAATCCCGTCACTGTTTCTCTGATACATACGTCCGCACAAACACACCCTCCCCTCCCTCCCTCTCTGTTTCTCTTTGTTTTTGTTCAAGTACTCTCTATGTGTGCATTCCGGTTATTCACCGATGTTAAGCTATAGCCAAACCATAAAGTGTGAATGATGACTAAGTATGGTAGGTTTATTGTTGATTAGTAACTCGCAACGCCACTTGCTTATATTTTAACGGATGACCAGGCACTATAATGCATTTGGAGTTTTGCATGATTTAGTTGGCTAGACTGAGGTGACATACAGTAGTATTTAACATATTATAAGAGAGGACGAGAGAAAAAAGAAGGGGACAGCAGTTAAAGTAGTTAATAAATCCCTCTAGCTTTCTCTCATCATCTGCACCATTCTTTTATGTGCTGCTGCTGTGTCACGTGAATTTAAATAAAGTGTCTATCTGTCTGTCTTTCTGTCTGGCTGTCTTTCTCCAACTGTATGCTTTGCTGCACCACTATCTGTGCAGAGCGATCCAGCTGAAATGAACGGTTGTACTTTTTGACATGTTTGGCTAAGAAGTCCGGGGTAAGATGTAGCAGGGCAGAAGAGCCAGTTGAATTTTTGATGTCGGTGAGTTGTCTTCTTGGTAATTCCGTAGGCAGGAGACTGCATTTCAGGCACGTTTCAGACATTTCATTTCAGTCACATACAGGGCCAGTCATGGCCTTCTTGGGACCCTACAATGAGAATTTGTTTTGGGGGCCTTATGTTTTTTCATGATTTATAAAATGTTCTTGCTTTATGGATAAAACTATAATTGACCATAAATTACAGTAGTGTCCTGGCTGTATCTTGGCTAAGCAGTTTATTTGACCAGTGTATGCATCTGTTTCGGGAAACAAAGCAATAAAAGTGAATTATTATTATTATGCAAAGTGGTTATGGAAACATTCATAAAACCGATTTACTGACACCACAGTAACCCTTGTGTTGTTGTTTTTTAGACTGGCTTTACTTCATCGTTGTTTGGGGTGCAACAAACCCCACTTATGTATGTGTAAAAAAATAATAATAATAAAGAACAAATAATAATAATAATAACTGCAATAAGAAACTTGAAATACGCTGAAGTGGTAGCCCTTCCTGTTGCACAAAATGGGCTTGCATTTGATTAAGGTGACAAACTGTGAAAATGACCATGTAGTGTTATTAAGCCAAATAAGGAAATATTTCTTGTTTTATATGTTATATGGGCAATGGATGAACACATACATATTCTTTCTGTTTGCCAAAAAGTCATCCACAGATGAAGAAATATATAATATCTTATCCACATCCTTCTACATAGTGATAAAACATCTCACTTAAGTCCCTGTTAGAACATTTGTGAACAAACTGTACTGTATACAATTCCAAAATTTGGGTAATGCTGCCTGAAAGGTGCTGTCAACGCCAATCACGGATAAAGACATGCATTGTATTTAACCATGTTTTACAGTTGTGGTCTCTGAGACTGCAAACAGAAGTAATGTGTTATTTTCTGTAACAGACCTCTGATACATGTGATCAATTCCGAGTCATTCTTAATAGGGAAAGTCATGAAGTCACAAGCTAATGAAACAACAATTAAAGAATTATGTTTTACTCTTACCGGTCTCAGATCTTTGTTTTTTACCACAGCAGAAAGCTGTTTTCAGATAAAAAGCTCCTTCCTGCTCAGCACTGAACAGACAGACAAAGTTACAGACTGATAGTGAACAGCTAAAGAGCCAAATATTTCCCTAAGGAATTTGTGGAGATTAGAAACAGAGCTCAAAGAGTGAATATTGGACTTTAATTCTCCAGGTGGACAGAAGCACGACTCCAGATGAATGATAATGTTGGTCCGTTATTGTTGGATGTGTTAAATATGTAAGTGTTACTGCTAACAAGTTTGTCTTAATAGGTGATGATATGTCAATGTTGAGTTCACAACTTTTTTGCTGTCCTCAAGTGGCCAATAAAAAGCTCTAAGGTTTCTAAGGGTATCTTCATTCTCCTTACACTTGAACATGGATGCCATCCAGCAAACACAACTAAGCAGTCTGTGAAAAACAGGTGAGAACATAAAGCTAAGTATATAGGAGCACCCAGGAAAGGAAAGTTTGACTAGTTTTACCTATTTCATGTATGATCAGTTATAACCTGCAATATCTGAATTGGTTATATAACCCCTTTAAATAACTTTCAACATCTCCAGAATTCTTCCTTTACACAGACACTGAGATGAGTCCACACCAAAACGTCCACTGTTGTGGCTGGCATTTTCTAATGCACAACAGACCATTGGTCAGTCTGACAGTGTCAGCAGTGTCCAAGAACCGCTGGCTAGACACAAAAGGGCACCACCAACTTTGTATCCTCGGGTGACATGTGGCACCTTTTATTTCCGCAAAATCAGTCTACCTAAAGCCGTCTCAACAGGAGGAAACTTTGAAGGTCAGACCACTTTCTGAATCCAATAGCCACAGTGTTCAGAGTCCAATGCATCACAGGGCTCTTTTGTGACTGAAAATGTTTAATGATTACAGCCTGCTAGGTTAAGGTCTCGCAGATTCTGGTAATACACATTCTGTATGTGTGAGAGATGAGCTGGTGTTAAGGCTGGCACTAGATGGCAACTGATCTTGCCACCCAAGTGGCTTCCCACTCTGTTATTTGGACAGTATATTCTCTCTGGACCGCAGACAAAAGAATGTGAATGCAAATATATATATATATATATATATATATATATATATATATATAGCACTGTGATTTCTATTCACCTTCAAGTAAATCTAAAAACCAAGTTTTAATAACCACATTAACTCAGCAGGTGGAAGTCTGAGTCAGCTGATTCCTTTTGAGGAGAAAATGACCAGCAAATTACCCCAAACAGTTCAGCGGCATGATCCAAGTGTTCAGAAGCCAAATGATTACACTGTGGATTCAAGAGTCCAATATTCCCCTCATTAAGTCCTAGATTTCCCTCACTCACCATGCATCACCTTACAGCAGTCTGGCAGAAGAGTCTTGCCGCCTTCATCTGCTCATAAGTTCCTCTTCCCAAATCTGAAAGTTTTAACACAAGCCTAAAACTCATTGTGTATTCAAATGCTTATAGCTTCTGAATAATCACTAAAAAGCTACTTCTGGGTGATTTATTATTGATTGAGAAGTGCAGAACTACCGAATGAATCATTTGAATTTGTTGCATGAGGCAATAAGACCAAGGCTGTCTTGCCTGACTAGAAGACTTTTGGTCCAGTCTTATTTCTTAATGTGAAACATGACTGAATTAAGTGAGGATTAAGTAAGACTTTTTGTGTTTTGTCCACAATTCATTTTAATTGTACGTCAGAACTATGTGATTTCATTCTTGCTTTAACTGTAAAACAGATTTTTTTATCACTTTATAATGCTGGCAAAACAATGTTGCGCATGCAGCTGACACAAAGCTACATTAGCATTTATTCTGAGTCATGTGTTTGGCCACATATTCACACTTCCTTTTACTTGTGGGTTGTGTTTAACTCTTTGGCTTGCTAAAATGCTCAGTTTTTACTGGCTAGTTGCTAACTTTGTCTGCCCATTTGGTGTTGGGCAGGTAGTGGACACTGGAAGACATGTAATAAAACGTTGTCTGATGCAGGTGGAAACGAGGTAGATTAGAGTGAATCAAAACAGTAAAGTTACACCTGTAAAACCAAAACATCGAGCTGAAAGACGCTAAAACTATCCATTCAGCTGAAGGGAACTGCAGAGTCAAAGTAAATAGTCAAAGTTTAGTTATATTAACTAATATCACAAATCACAAATTTGCGTCAGACAACAATCTTTACAGAATACACCCTCTATCTTTAGACCTTTGATTCAGATGAGGAAAGACTATTTTTTCAAAAACTGTTTTTATTGGGTGATTTTATTGGTTTCTATGGATTAATAACCAGTGGCCCCTTTCACACTGTAGTATTTTATTTCATTTTCAATTTAAAGATATTGATTGGTGCAGCTTTAATTATTGTAAATTAAACTTGTCTTATCTAATAACAAAATGTTCCAGTGTGAGTCTACTGTAGATTTCTAGTGCAAGTTATTTATATTTTTCTTAATAGAATGGTTCATGTTGCCACAGTGAATTTTCACCTTTGTGATCCAGACAGGGAAAAGCCAAAGCCAACTAATTGTGTGTTGATTTGAGAATGAGTAGATAATGTAAATTTTTTTATCATTGTGCCTACACAAACGCTATAATGTTAGTCTGAATTAAATTAGGGGTGTATGACAGGCGTGCACCTTCATGCCCGCTGTTTCCTAAGGACGACTTAGCTTGGAAGATTTTAAAGCCGTCATTCTCAGCTCATCTGACAGTAATCGGGAAAAAAACTGAAATCCTCACCTCCTCTTGTTTAATTTTTTGCCCCCGTATCTCTCATCCTCAGATAGGCGAAGAGAAAGTCTTGATGAGATTGTAACAAGGACAAGAACAGAGAAGAGCAGGTACCCACACAAGCTGCCGACTGAATTGCTGCAGATTAAAAGGAAAGGGAGAAAAAGACTGCAATTTTATGAGAGGCTACCTGCCAGAGGCTTCTGGGGATTTACCACATTTCAAAATAAATATCAACATCCAGATTGCCCGGACAACAAAAAATAAATAAAGAAACCCACATGTGACAAATATTTAGAAACTGTCTTTCTCATTTCTCTGGACATCAAGCTATGGAATCCATAAGATGAGGGCTTAATGCTTCCCTTCTGGTCAGATCCATCTGCACCCGTGGAACAAATAAACCTTTTCAGTTCAGACTATATCCATGGCTATTGACCAGCAGAGAGGAAAAGTATTGGAGTGAATAATGGGCCATACTGCAAGCCCATTGAGCTACTCCAGGATTATAACCATGGAGCCAGTGAGAGATGGAAACTGAAGGGGATAGTTGGAGGGA